CACTCGTCCCCGGGGAGGGTGAACACAGCCTGGAGGCGGTTGAAGTGAAGCTGCTGCTCGGGGGCTGAACACACCAGACGGGCCTTCAGGAACGTTGTCCACTTCTTCTGCAGCGTGCGGGCCCCGCCGACGTCCCCCTGCGCACCCAACCGGTGTCACCATGGGCTGAAGCCACACTGGGACGCTGTCCCTCACCCCGCTGTCCCCTCCCTGTACCTTGCAGACCCGGGCCACGCGGGCCACCACTTGCTCGGCGTAGCAGTCATACTCCACCGCGCGCTCGCTGAAGAAGAAGTAAACTTTGTCATCATCACCAGTGGCACTGGCTGCGCTCTCCTGCACGTACGCTGAGGCCACAAAGTGGGGCTCTGTGGTGGAAAAGGGACGTTAACCCCATGCCAAAGGGTTGGAGGTGTCCACACGGTCCTCCCCACCCCGTGTCTCCCCAGCCCTACCGTTCAACCAGGAGGTGAGATACTCGGTCTTCATGGAGTAGTGGGGGCCCAGGTTGCGGAGGATGACAGGCTCCGTGCCCAGGAAGTTGTTGAAGGTGGCTGAGTAGAGCTCCCCGTCTGCGAGGAAGGGGGTTAGGAAGGGGACAGGGGCTGTGGTGGGACCCCCCACCCTGGTCCCAGCAGTGCCACCTACCCACGATGAGGCCAGTGTGTCCCTTGGTGGGGTCATAGGGACACTTCCCTTTGCCGTCCTCAAAAGCCACTTGGTCCAGGGTGAAGCCAGAGAGTTCCTGTGGGGCACAGGAGTGGGTGAGGGGTTCAGCACCCACCCTGGTTCATGTCACCTCACACCGTGACCAGCCTCAGGCCCCCAGATGACCCTCTGGGGAACAGAGACACCCCTGGATGATGTTCCTGGAACAGGGACACCCCCAAGATAACCCTTCTGGGACAAGGACAGCCCTGGATAACCCATTATAGAGATAGGGACACCCCTAACAATGCTCCAGGGTGACAAGAGACACCCCTGGACCACCCAATGGGAACAAGGCCATCCCTTAATGACACCCCTGGAGCACCCTTTTGGGGACAGGGACACCCTTGGATGATGCTCCTGGGAACAGGGACATCCATGGAGCACCTTCCTCAGGACAGGGACACCCCTGGGTGATGCTTCTGGGGCAGGAATACCCTCCACATAGCCCTTCTGGGATGAGCACAGACCCATTACGGGGACAGGAACACCCCTAACAAAGCTCCATGGGGACAATGGACATCCCCAGACCACCCTCACAGGAACAAGGCCACCCCTTAATGACACCCCGGGGGACAGGGACATCCATGGAGCACCCTTTTGGGGATAGGGACACGCCTTGGTGATGCTCCCAAGGCTGGGTGGGGGGCGTCCAGGTGGGGAAGCAGGGGGGTGACAGGTTCTGGGGTCCCTCATGGCTGCACTCACTATGTAGGTGCATTTAGGCTGGAAGGCGTAGGTGCCACAGGCGTAGAGGTGGGAACTGTTGTAGCTCTGCAGAAACCGCACGTAGTTGAAGCAGTCAGTCTGGGGGGGACAAGGGGACAACAGGCAGTTAAGGGGGGACATG